AGTCGCAAAGCTTGACCTCAGGCGCCAGTGCGGCCCTGGTGATCCTCAGCGGCCCGGGGCCCCGGGGCCCCGGGGGCCTTGGCAACGGCCAGGTTCCAAAACTCCACGGGTCTTCTCGGGAAATGTGGCATTCATGAACCCAAAAAATGCAAAAGCCCGAAGAAAGGCAACCAGTTGGATGTAGAAGGGTCATGTTATCTTATTCCCTGAACGATTTCGCACCAAGAGAAGGGAACGAAGAAGTCGCTCCCAATCTACCCAATCCATGGCTCGTGTGGTACTCCGTCGGCTGTTTTGTTGGCTTGTCCAAGGCCTTTCAGCTCAATTCAGCCTTGATATGGGAATGGATCAAAATCAAGCCACCAGGGGACCGCAAATTCTAGTCCATCCATCTACCAGGGTTCCATTTTGGATACATATTTTTGACCCACAGCCATATAGGCAGGCTGAGAGGAATCCAGAGACCTTTGCCGGACCCTGCGCCGTGAAAGAGGATTTGCACTTTGCTTCCCAGCTAAAGTTAACCCAGGATGAATGTTGAAGCCGTCCCATTCTTCGGGGTGTTCCCTTCAAAAGTGGTCTGAATCCAACCACTAAAAGGGGACACCCCCCAATCAAAATCAACCAGGGGTTTATTAATCCGGGGTTAACATTATGTGTGGGGCTGGGCAGTCATGACGGTCGGGCTGGGATCGGCGCCGTGGACGAGTCTAAAGTCAGCTACAGGTCAAGGCAAGCGAGAGCTGAGGCACTGAGCCCAAGGCTTGTAGCCGGAAGCGGCTTCGAACCGAGTCAGGATGTAGCTTGACCTGCTTATTTGAGCCCTGTGTTGTATTGAAAAAGAAACCAAACAAACCAGCTGTTTTAGAGACCCCCCTCCCCCGTACAGGCAACAACAAATCAACCAAAAAACAGACAGACAGACGGACAGACAGACAGACAGATGCGGGGCCTAGTTGCCTTTGAGGGTGGTGGCTCAATTTCACCGGGACGCGGCGCTGAGGTGCCAGCAGCTTCGGTGCCATCAGCGATGTCAAGACCCCGCCAGAGGAGGCAGCGAGGGCGACAGAGGAAGAAGATGGCATTGCGGGACAGGCAAATGCATGGGAGAGGGAGGAGGATGCAGGTCTGTTTCGGGCCAGTGAATGCCAATGTCCGCCCAGAGACGTTCTTTTTTTGGTTTGGGCGGGGGGGCAGGGCTTTCATCAGACTTGGTGAGCGGATCCGTCGTTGAAGCCCGCTTTGACGCGGCCACAAAGTGTTTTGCAAAGAAATGGTCACAAGCAGCAAATCTTTGCTCATGTGCCCGCAATTGACGGGCAATCGTATTCCATTGTTGTAGTGGATCTCAACAGAGCACCCGGAACAGCAGCAGACTAAGCAGGCAATCACTAGAGCATGTTGAAGCGCATCGATGCTTTCATCAGTACGGTGTTTGCTAATACCTTGAAATATCCAAATCCAAAGATTTCATGCATGGCTTGGCTACGGGGCGCTCAGCTTGAAAGGTTCTTCTGTGCACCTGCCTCAAAGTGGCAATTTTCCCGAGCATCGGCGTGGGCTAGGCTCAAAGACCGTTTCCGACACGGGCCCTGAGGTATATGAATATTCGATCATGAAGCGAAGCCCCATTTTCTTGAACAAGACAGCAGGAAAGGCGAGTGCGAGTGTGTTCCATTGAAGCCTTTGACAAGAGCCCCTTCTGGTGCATCTAATGAACTCCTTGCCTAGGCCTCTGTGTTCTGGCCAATGAGTGAATGCCCCATTCTTTCGGGCTTTGACAGCCGGCGTCAACGCTCTTTTGAAGCCTGCGGAGTATCTGGTTGCTGGAGGCTAGCCCGGATATTTGGCAGAACTGTCAGATAACCACGAGGATTCCTGGAGGGA